TTACTGCTGTATGTTTGATTAATACGATTTCATCTTCTCATATTTCAGGTTTTCTCCTTTCGAAAGGTTGAATGGATATGTCCCTGATTATTCTTTCTTTAGAGTTTTTCGTTGTATATGTTTCGTTCTTCGTCTTCATGTAGAACGCAGCAAGTTTTCATCTCGATCTCGCCCAATTAGTACCAGGATTCAACTTAAATCTCTCAATGATGGAAGTCGAAGCGTCTCCCAGGATTCGAACCCAAGACCTCCATCATATGAGAGACTTAAGTTGAATTCTAGTACCAATTGAGCAAGTTGCCAGGTCTCTATACTCAATCCATTAGCTTTGTACCGTTCGCTTTGGGTGGGCATATGTCCACTTATCTCTCATGACTTTCTATCACATCCTATATGATTCCAACTCAAAACCTCCATAATATGGGAGACTTTGTCCAATTGGTACTATGATTCAACTTAAGTCTCCTATATGATGAAGATCTTGTAGAAATCGAAAATAATTTGAGTTATATTAAGTCTCCATGACCCTTCCTAAGAATTCAAATTAAAGTTTTGGTCATGATAGTAAAGTTTCGCGCACTTGTTCATAAAATTTTTGTAAGGTAGCAAATTGCTAGTAAACGAAAATTCTTTTATTATTTTATTTTGACGACACTCGTTATTTTAATTGTTGCATGCATACTTAGTGTTTAAATCTTAAAAATTAGTTCAATCGATTATATTGTGCCAAACAATCCCTACTTCATTTCATTACAATTTTTCTCATTCACGATTTTCTTCCATTAATTCATCTCCATTTATTTATTTATTTTTCTTTCATTATCTCTCAACCTGACTTTTCAACTCCTCCACTCTCCAATTTACAAACTATAACTTCTTATTTATGTTAATTATTGAAATCATGGCTATTAATTTCTTTTGAAAACAAAACTCTTCCACTACCATTTCGGTTACTGCCATCATGTTCCCCATTTGTTATAAAATGAAAACATTACCTCCACTTAAGATTTCTTATCCCACTTTCACTTTTGGCTCCCATTTTTGGTTATTGCCGGATCTATTTTCTGTTGCACTTTGTTACAAACTCAACACAAAATGATAATCAAACTCCAATCATTCAAGGTAGGGGTTTTTTCTACACTTTTACAAGTGAAGTAAAAAATTATTTGTTTTTTATTTGCATTAAAAGTGTTATTGTGTTAC